TTATTAAAAATGGGATGCTACTTTAATGTCTCAAGTCAAATCAACATTACAATGCTATTGACTATTTCCCTTAGCTAGATATTAAATTAAACATGCATTACTATTATCATTATGAATGTCTCCCTTTGTTTTTACTGAGATTATAGTAAGCTCAAATGTTCCAAGGAACAAACATCAAAACCTATGTACTGAGCCTTAGAGCATAGTGGTTAAGGGATCAGTCACTGTCAAACGGTCAATGACTCAGACATACAAGTTTGGACCTATGCGCTACTCTGAAGGGAAAAGATGCACTTGACTTCCATTAGAATCTTGAAAATTCAATAAATAAGTTCTACTCTGTCCAATAGAGTGTTATGAATTGGAGTCAACTCGACAACTAAGGTTTCTCTTTTTATAATTATGTCCTTATTTTTTTCGTTGGATTTATGACTCTCAAATGTAATTACACAGAGTGATGCAGCTCCAGTTTGGTAAGTGTCCTGACAGTGGGAAGGCAGATAGAGCAAGCAGTTCATCTTTTCAAATAAAAAATTTATCAATGCCAATGTTTTAATGAATATAAACGCAATTTTTATATTTTATTAATAAACCATCTTATTGGGGGCTCTTGCATATAATAACAATCCATAAATCAATTATATCAAGCAAACTTGTACATCAATTTCAAAATACTTTCTTTCTCCTTGAGCCCTTTAATATCAGATCGTCTTTATCCCCTCCCTCCTCACCCTGCCACCCTCATGAACTCTTAATATTATATATATATGTATATGTATTTTTTTACATATTTTACACTGTCCAATATATCCTCTCACCTACAATTCTGATATTTGCCTCCCTCAAGTGGGCTTATACCACCATCTTTGCTATCCATTGTCCCTCTCCTCTTCCCCAACCCTTCCTTCCTATACCCTCATGGGATCGTTACTCCCAATACTGTTTCTAAGGGGTTTGTCTATTCTGTTTTCCATGTATCAAAAGCTCTTAATTATACCAATGCACATACTCCAGTCTAGCAGGATTTGTGAGGTATAACTAAAGTCATGATAGTGGAGAGAGGAAGAATTAAATAACTTGTGTGTTTCATCCTTGCTATACTGCACCCTGGATGTTTCATCTCTTCTGTGTTACCTTTCTGTGAGGGAATGTCTGATTATCAACAAATGAGCTTTGGGTCTCCACTCTGACTACTCTCCCTCACATCCACGTTATTGTTTGTTTTTGACCTCTTATACTTGAACCCATTGACACCTCATGATCACACAGGCTGGGGTGCTTCTTGCATGTAGGCTTAGTTGTTCCCCTGCTAGATGGCTGCATGCTTGACTTCAGGCTTTAAAGGACCTCAGACTCTATATCTTGTAATAACCTGGCACCATCCACTTCTTCACCACATTTGCTTATGCACCCAGTTTGTCTTCAGCGATCATGTTGGGAAGGTTGGTATCGGCCAGTGCTACACTATCATTAGAACAAAGTGTTTTTGTATTGAAGAAAGACTTAAGTAGATGCCCAAAGTCTGTCTTCTCCCTTAATATATTACCGTATAACTACATGTACATAGGCCAATACCCCTATTTTTATGTATTACTATATATACATGTGTATGTATAGTTTTCACTGCCTAGTTCTTTCCTCTATTTCCTTTTACATTCCTCCTGGCCCACTATCATGCTTACCCCTCATTGACCTCTCAATAATTCCTCTTGGCTAGGTTACAATTGATCAAACACCACCAGGAACTGTACACCCTCCTCACTGTTGATTTTTTATGCCTTGTTGTTCTGCTGTCCTTAACATTACTGGCTCACTACTCCCTTCTCCCGCCTCCTCTTCTCTTATGCCCCCAGAACCATCTGTCCAATTGTTATCTCCTTGGGACTCCTTATCATGCATTTCTTATACAGAGAGACATAACAAAACATAAACAAAAACACTCAAAAACCTTTAAATAGTTCCAGATCAATATCCCCCATCCTGGTCCAGAGGGGTGCCAAGCACCGGCCTTGGGTTAGAGTCTATTTTCAGAAATCCTTAGGGACTTTATGACTTTGCTTCCATCGCTGATCTGTTATGCTCCCTTCTTGATTCACCCCAATGTGGCTGGGTCAGACAGGACTCACTCCCCGCACCATCTCCAGCGGTGTCCTCCGTAACGCTGTGATCCAGTGAGGGGACGTCATCTCTCCAGCTTGGGTCGACCCTATAGTCCCCTCTGTGCATTAACTGCTCTGGGCAAGAAAGCTGCCTTCAAGGCCTGTAAACCCAATTTTTATGATGAAAACTTTTATATACACTTTGAGGATTGAAACATTATATGACTGTGTGTTTATCACCGATATGGATGCGTTTCATAGCATTTTATTGTACTTTTAAACATATGCATGATTTGAGAGAAATGCAAATAAAATAATAGTAAAAATACAAATAGCAAAAAAAAAATCCACCAAAATTTTTATTAAGTTGTAATAATAGCTCCTTTGAGCAGAGAAAGACATTTTAAGCATTGAGTCCACGATATGGCCATCCATTTCATAAACGTTAAAATTCCTTTTACTTACAGCATGCCATAAATGGATTGGCATCTGCATATAGTGACATAAAACTATTAACATTCAGCAAGGCCTTCTTTTTCTTCATTATGTATATTATATCTTATAAGCCACTTTTATTTACCTCTGGTTTGTAATATCTTCAAAATGATCATGAGTTTCCTTATTAATGACAGTCCTGTCAGAAGAAAGAAATCACACCAGTATCTTGAACAAGAAATAATTGAAAAGAAGAATCAGTAATTGATAAGAGAGGGTTGACAAATAAGAGGGATTTATTTTTCTTACTATAAAGGATACCCTAGGGTTGAGGAACACATTTGACAGAGGCTTTTTATTATCAGGGGTTATGTTAAGCCCTCTTTGGAAAGGTGCAAATGTGACTGGCTGGATGGGAAGAAGCTCTCTGATTTGCTCAAGGTCAGAGCTGGAGTAGATGGTGCAGAAAGTAGAGAATTAGAGCATTTCAGGCTGATAGTAGTAATAAAACTTGCCGAATACGTTAGATCTCTCAGGGGACAGATATACCTCGGTCCTTGGCGCACGTGAGAAAGAATTCACGCCGAAGCCTGGTTTGTGATCCAAGTGAGTTTTCTGAGAGTCAGAAGTTTCAGGTTTACACAGGCACCCGCAGAGCCCCTCACCCTGTGGAGCCTCCCTAGAAGCTGGTCGGAAAGTCAGGCGGTCAGCTCTGGCTCCTGCCTTTTTCAAGTATTCTGTGGGGAGGCGTGGTAGATGACCCTGGTCGACTCCATTGGCTGAATTGAATGTACCTATGCTAGGTGGGCCAATGCAGGTGCAGCGCCCGCCCAGGTGTACCTGAACCTCTGAGCATGTGCACTGTACCACTCCTTCTTGGCCGGTAGCTCAGACCTCTGAGCATGCGTAATGGAGGCCCCAGTCCCTAAGCTAAACTACCTAACAAATAATGAGTGTCACTAGAACCAGAGGCACAGCAAAATGTAAAACAATTGCTCCCACTTTCATCCTTACGTTAGTCCAGCCATTCTCAACCTGTGGGTCGTGACCCCTTTGGGGGTCAAACGACCCTTTCACAGGGGTCGCCTAAGACTAACTGGAAAACACATATTTCCGATGGTCTTATGAGCTGAGACACTGCTCCTCTATCTGCCTCCAGGCAGGTCCGCCCACTTGCAGATACGCCCACCTACCAGTACCCAGGCATGAAGGCTGTTAGCCATGCTACACCATGCTTCAAGACAAAATTTCACTTATTTGTAATTAGAAATAAATATTTCACAATATATAATTACATATTGTTTTTGTGATTAATCACTATGCTTTAATTATGTTCAATTTGAAACAATGAAAATGCATCCTGCATATCAGATATTTACATGCTGATTCACAACAGTAGCAAAATTATAGTTATGAAGTAGCAATGAAAATAATATGGCTGGGAGTCACCACGACATGAGGAACTGTACTAAAGGGTGGCAGCATTAGGAAGGTTGAGAACCACTGTATTAGTTGATTTGGGAGTCCGTTGGTTTATTTAATGAATTGAAGGCTTTGGAAAAGTAAGCTTGAAAAATCCAATCAACATTGAAACAAATTCTAACAATCTCTAGACTTCGTGGTAGAAATCCAACTCTGGAGTCCCAGTGGCTAACTTGGAATATATGTTTTAACATTGATTCTTTGTTACTCAGTATTTCATATGTTGGTTCAAATGCAGACATTTCCAACTTGTCCACAGTACCATCTAAAAGGTAATGAATGTTGAAATGATGCTTTTTCAGATTTTACTCTCTTTTCTAAACTCATAATTTCATGGGGAAAAAAACAGGAATTCTCATAATTGATCAGAAAAAGTCCATTAGATGGAAGTTTTGGGGTGAAAGTTTCTGATTACCTTAAATTCCATATTCTAAAGAACTGAATTTCATATTCTTAAATTCTATTCACTTAGATAGAATTTTTCAGGCATGATAATTAGAAAACTCAAAGGTGGGAGAGTAGAGGAGGAAGGGGAAAAAGAGAAGCTGATTCCAAGGACTCAACTAGAAAAAAATGCTTCAGAAATGAAAAGAGTGCCCAATAAAATGTTTTTTTAAAGAACACTCATAAAATCTGGACTAAATCTAAATTCATGCCTCACCAAAGAATCAAGGTACTTTTCCTCTCTCCCCCCACCATATTCATATTTATCTATAACAAAGACAGAGAATGCATCGATGTCATCTGTGCACAATTCTATAGTTTATTTCTAGAACTGATAAGCTATACACAGTCTCAACATTTTTAATAGTTGTTTTTTTTATAAATTAACTTTTTCCTACATGATACTGGGAAAAGACTTTCTAGTAGTCTTTAAACGTTCTCTTCTTCTTTACTCTCTCCACGGTTGAGGCATGTTACAAGAAGACAATAAACATCTTTATAAAAGGAGTACTATGTTAATACATTTGAAGGAATGTTGTCTTAATACAGAGGATTCCTCACTATGAGTGGCATTTCAGAAATTCTCATCGGTTTCAGGTACTGGGTCACAACTTTCCTCATGGCAGCTTTCATATCCCTATTCCTCAGTGTGTAAATAATGGGGTTCAGGATGGGAGTGAAAATGGTGTAAAATATAGCAAGCACTTTATCCACTGGGTAGGTGGTAAAAGGCCACACATAGATGAAGATGCAGGGACCAAAGAATAATATAACCACCATAATGTGGGCAGCCAGCGTGGAAAATGCCTTGGCCATTGCAGCCGAAGACTTAAAGGAGACAGTGACAAGAATAATAATGTAAGAGCTGATCAGGAGAGAAAAAGTGCTTAGGGAAAGAATTCCACTGTTGGCCACAATAAGTATTTCAATGATGTAAGAATCCAGACAGGCAAGTTTGGTTACTCGAGGAAGGTCACAAAAAAAACTATCTACGATATTGGGTCCGCAAAAAGGAAGGTTCACAGTAAATGATAACTGACTGAATGTGTGCACCAAGCCCACAGCCCAGGAGATCATTACCAGGACAGTGCATGTCCGCCGGTTCATGATGACCACATAGTGTAAGGGTTTGCAGATGGCCACATATCTGTCATAGGCCATGGAGACAAGTAGCACCATCTCCCCTCCAGTAAAAAGGTGGATGAAGAAAATCTGGGCTATGCAGCCGTTGAAGGAGATGGTCTTGCGCTCACTCAGAAAATCTGCGATCATTTTAGGAGTGGCAAAGGAAGCCTGACAGATGTCCACAAAGGAAAGGTTTCCTAAAAGGAAGTACATGGGAGAGTGCAAACTGGCCTGAGAAGTGACAGTAAGGATAATGAGGAGATTGCCCAGCACAATGACCACATACAAGACAGAGAAGAAAACAAAAAAGAACAGCTGGAGCTCCTGTGAACCAGAGAGCCCTAGCAGTACAAACTCAGCCACCACTGAAGAATTGAGCTTTTCCATGGTCCCGGCCACACACTTCTTCTGAAACAACCCTAAAAGGAGGAAAATATGAAGGGATCAAATTATGAACTAACAACATTTTCATCATGAAGGATTCTGACATTCTAGATATGGAGTGTGTTTGCTGAACACAAAAATTCTTCAGACACCGTTATATGTGGAGAGTAGGAAAGAGCCTATGAAAATGTCTAAATAAAGCTACGATACCGATCAGTATCACCAGAGTCTCTTGAGTTCCGGGGTATCATCAAATATTATCCACACACCCAAAAGTCAATCAATATATGTGTATGTGTGTAGGAGCGCTGGTGGTGCAGTGGTTATGGATTGGGCTTCAATCCACGCAGTCGCAGTTCGAAACCAGCAGCAGCTCCAAGAGAGAAAGACTGGGCTTTCTACTCTCATGAACAGTTACCTTCTTGGAAACCCATAGGGGGTCGCTAGGAGTCAACATTGACTCTATCGCGGTGAGTTTGGTTTTTTTGAGATTTGTATGTGTCACTAGCACAGTAATAAACTAACTCACCAGGGAACTGAGGGGTTGTGGTCAAATGAAGACAAGAGTAACCTAACACTTTGAAGACTGACAATTTTGATGTGTTGGTCTTTTGGTAATTTTCCATCATCAATTTTAATAAATCTAACCACAGCATTCTTTTTAATTCTTTGAGAGCTGTTCAAGGTTTGATGTTTATGGTTATATAACTTTAGACTAATTCATTTTAGATTCAGTTTTGAGACTGAATTTTCATATCTTACAATAGTCTTTCTCATAATAGATTTTTCACATCATCAGAAATCTTCTTTAGAAAAGTTAACTCTGAAAGTTAAACATGATAAGACATTATAACCCATTTTACTATTAAAGTAAGTGTAATACAATCAATATTCTTAATATGTTGTTGTTGTGGTTAGTTGCCATTGAGTAGAACTGATCTACAAGATTTTCTTATTTACAATCTAACTAGAAGTAGATTCCCAAGCTTTCTATTCCAGGCTAGTCCTGGGTCAGTTTGATCTCTCAACTTTTATGTTAGCATTCAAACACAAACACTTTGCCCCACCTTGGAACCTTCTTTTATGTTTTGGTGGGAGGGGGGTGCTTCTTAAGATCAATAATTCATGTTAACAAAAATGTATCTTACTACTGTTATATCAATCATAAATAATTTTAACAACTCTCCTGTTAAAGAGATGTCATTGGATATATATTGTACAAGTCTACAATAGTAATCCCAGTAGTAATTTATTCATGTGAATACTTTCTTAAAATGCACTTTGTATTTTCACTTTAATTACCTAGAACTCATTTAGTCTGATTATACAAGATGAGTACCTTAATGACTCATTTTTTTTGCCTACCAAAGTTAGATTTGGGCTAATTTATGTTGCTCTTGCTTAGTTTTCTCTATGACCTACGGAATACATCTTTCAAGTTAATGAAAAAGTAGAGTTGTTTTAGGATCTTCTAAACAAAACTCACCGCCATCGAGTTGATTTCAATTCATGGCACCCTAGTAACATTACAGATCAGAAAACCATATTGCCTAGCTGGATGAAAATCATTACATTATAGACCTGACATGCTTCTTAAAATATCAATTAACTGGAATCTTAGAAAGTATAAAATGTATTTCAACTTTCCATCTTATTTTTTCTGTAAAAGTACAGCTCTGGTATGTACATCTGAGTTGGGTGAACTGATAAAAGTCTCAAGAAACTATGTGCGTTCTGACAATTCACTCTGGACCCAAACATGAGTGTGATTTTAATCCTAATTCAGAGTACCCACCTCTTCCGTGACCTACTTATTTCACACAAGACTCCAAAGTCTTTCTGAAGTCTCTTGCGTACAAACATAGCCTCTCTCATATCAGTAGATGAGCTGTCGAGCCACAAGGAAAGCTCTCAGGTAGAGCCTCATTTCAGGCACCCCTATAAGTAGGGATTTTCTGAGAAGCATTTCACTGTCCACACTTCGGATGACACATTGCGGTAGACTCTAGACCAAGAACAAAAATAAATGAAGTTGGCTTACAATAATTGTATAAATTCCTTTAGCAACTATGTTTTTTTTTAATAAAACGAGTCTTTATAAGAGAACAGTAGTTGAGGGGATCCTAAAATAGAATACAAATTCTTTTAACCTTTTCATCCTAGGTTTAAGTTATTTACTTTCTATTTGATTGTTTAATTCTAAAGGAGGCCTAGTAGTGCAGTGGTAAAGTGCTTAGCTGCTAATCAAAGGTTAGTGGTTTGAATCCATGAGTGACTCAGCAGGACAAATATGAGCAGTCTGCTTCCATAAAGTCTATAGCCTCAGAAACCATATAGGGTAATTCTACTCCATCCTATAGGGTTGGTAGGAGTTGGACTCAATTGTAAAGGATTTAGTTGATTTCTGTTCATTTGTTTTCCATCATTATTCTTTTTCTCATGGTCATGGGCTTATTATGTTAAATTACCAAATCCATTAAATGAAAATATTATACAACTGGAACATATGTAACCTAAAAAACTAAGGTAGAGTTCTATAAATGATGCATAGTATTTATCATCCTGCAACAAAGAAAACAGAGAGGCTTGGAGTTTTGAGAGTCTGCTAGGTTGCAGTTATTGTTTCAGATGTTTGCGTGTATGTTGTATCAAGCAATTCCCACAAAGATTTTGGAGGAGTCAGATCTTTCTCCTGGTGTGCAGACCAGACAAGTTTAATAATTTCCAGACAGACATTTGTGCTACAAAATCTTAGTAGGTGTTTGAATCATGTAATAATAAATAAACGGCATTTACTAAACATCGCCAAAGCTAGTCACTGTTGTTAGTATTGCACATATATTAATTGAATCTCCCTATGACATTACATGGCAAATACACTTATTAATCTCGTTTTCCAAAATGAAATCACAGCCCAAGAGATCATAAGTAACTTGCCTAGAGTCACACAGGCAATAGAGCATGAACCCATATCGGGACTTCAGAACTAGTCTCTTGAATACAATATTATCTCACATCTGAATAAAACAAAAGCTATGGCATTTCCATTATTTTATAAGAGGAAAAAACCTCAAACTCATTGCCCTGAAGTCAATTTTCACTTAAAGCTATCCCACAGGTCAACAGAGAACTTCTCACTTGGATTTCCAATAATTGAAATATTTAAAATAAAGCCCCTCTTGATTTTAATCTTTCCACCTACTATCAAACTGTGGTGCTCCAGGTCAGTCAGGACTTCTCAATCTCTGTATTCTTGACATCCTGAGCAGGATAGATCTTGGTTATGAGGCCTTTCCTGTGCCTGGCAGGACATGCAGGAGCACTGATAGCTAAACACACAATGGTGACAACTAAATAAATATGTCTCTCTACTTTGCTAAATGTCTATGGGGGAACAAAATCACCCCCATTTGAAAACCACTACGTTAAGCCCAAGTTGTATTTGTGTGATTTCTACCTGTCATTTTACCTTCTGACCAGTTGACAAACATGTTCAGCCTGACTTATCAAAAATTAAATGCATAAAATATCTTCCACAAATTTCCCTCCCCTCTTTGTCCCTTTTCTTAATTTTACCTTGCTGTTTTACAAGAAATTTCTTGAAAGGATATAAGCAAATTCTCTCTTCACTTTTTTTGTCATCCTTTTGGCTCCTAACACACTTAACAATGCCTTTTTTTGCTAACGTCAGGGAAACTATCAAATGTCTTCAAAGATCTAATTACAAAGATTAGTCTTGTTATACTCTTGAGTAAAATAACTCCTGGGTTTTCTGACTGAATTTTTAATATTAATTTCTTTCATTCATGCTAATGACCTTTGCATGTAGAGTCCCTTAAGGTCCTAGCTTATAGGTTTCCCTCTTTTCCTTTTATATAATATTATTATTAGTCTCATGTCTTTTCAGTCTCTTCCTCCCTCAGCCCTTGCATCTGCTTCTCGCCGCCAGCAATCACCTCTGCGTGATGGCATTTAAAATTGTAGCACCATTCCTCATCATGACTCAGCGTTCCAAGTGTATTTATGACAGTTTTATAGACATGAATATTGTGTAGCTATTTCTGAACTCAGCTCACAATTTTCTTCCTTAACTCACCTCTTTCTCCTCTAAGCAATTCTCTCATTCTTCCAGCTTCTAAATCTCAAAGTCATTTTAACTCTTGCTTTTTCCCAGACCTCACACTTTCACTTGTAACATCATTTCTTAAAGGCAAGAAATTAAAACTCAAAATCCTTAGCACGACAGTTGTAAAATGCACTACTCTTTAGCCAGTGCCAAGTTAGTTGATCGTTAATATTTATTAAGCCCATAAACACTGCCTGTTACTTTTCTCGTGTTCACAGATTATCTATTCCAACTCAAAGGCTAGAGTTCAAAAATTGAGAACAGAGCTCAAAATCATGAAAGAGACCAGGCTTTGGGGTCAGAGAGAAACAGGTGGACCAACCTGACCAAGACCTTCAGTTACCCTTTGGATCAGGACCTGAACCCACCTCTGTGATAGAATAACCAACCATTTAAGATCAGAGGTGCAGCATCTACCCAAGAACAAAGTCCAGAGAGCTAAGAAAGAAGGACCAGGAGAAACAGGAGACACGGGGAGAAAGCAGACTGGGGAGATCAAAGTGGATGAGCTGAAACAAAGCGAGTTTGAGCTGTTGAATGTGAAACTAATGATCAGCTCTGTACACTTCACCTAATTCACAATAAAACGTTTTTTAAGGAACTTAAAAGATAAAGGAATTTTCCCAGGAACTTTCGGAAGCCCTCTTGTACCTCTGAAAGGATGTGCAAGAAACAAAGTGTTCTATTTTTCTCTGGGTAATGTGACTGGGAGACTAGAAGGGACAAATGATTCAAACAACAACAAAAAGGATAAAAATGGCCATCTATTCCAATAAGCCTCCCCAGAGGCTCTAATTGAAATGTCTCTTTTGTATATTGCCCCTGGAACATTTGCTTACAGGTATCTTACATTTTGTTTTGTGTCAGTACCATTTCCCTTCTA